AATAAGTACTTACACAAGAAATTTTAAATGGTGCAAACGTTATAGGGTCTTCTCCATACAAAGGCCAATAGCGTTCACATTTTTTCTGTTACCCAAAAAGAAAAAAAAACAAACAACAATTAGTGAGTAATCCATATGGTAGTTTTTCTTACATTGTTATAAATATTTTGTGTCCTGGGGTTCCGCTTGCTACTCCTCCCCCAAAACAGAAATACTGATATCAGTAGGCAAGAAGCTGGGAGAGCTAAGAGCTATCCAATTGTTATCAAAGGTAGGCACTGTGTCCTCTCCAAAATTAGTCATAAGAACCTTATTAATATAGTACCAACTGCTCAACATAAGGCTACCTGCCTATCTGGTCTATAGGGTAGACCAAAGATCCTCCTCTAGAAAAGAAAAATTGCCTTAAAAAAAGTGTCTGGCATGAGGATTACCAGGCAAGTTTTACTGCTTATAACATGACAGTCTCTACAGTATCTGGATGAATTCTCATTAAGTGTAAAATCTGTGAGAAAGTGGAAAGAGCATTCTACATGACATCAGAAGAATGTTCCAAGTACTAATTTTACTGCTTTATTGACCTTTAATTTCTTTACTTGTAAAAATAGGCATAATAATCTTTATCTTATAGGGTTGCTGTATTTATTAAATAAGAGTGCATTACAAATGTTCTATTGATGGTAAAATCCCACTACCACCATAATACATTATTTTAACTATCCACTTTTATTTGAGATTACAGAAAGTGTAATCAAATATTTTCCTCTCTTGCCTTCCTATTTTAAACAGAGAGAAATAGTAGAAAATTCAAATTCAATTTTCATTAGTTTCTAATAATAAGACTTATCATTTTAGAAAATTAGGTGAGTGAAAAGCCTAACTTTATAGAAGATACAGTGTTTCAGATGCTAAGAAATGATGCAATTATTTATCAAGACCCAATAAAAGGGAAGATAAGTGACCACACGTAGCTTAAATAAACCTTTCGGCACTGGGAAATATATCCATTCATGAATTTCTAATTAAATTCTAATAGTTCCAAATATAAATGCAGTACTACTCACAGGGCAACTAAGTATAATAGAACTGTCTGGTATGTCAGGTTAGAGTAAATACTACTAATATTTTAGAGGCTTAAAACCACAGGTAATCCTCAAATATAATTTTTCAAATTTATAGAAAATGATAAAATTAAATATTTTTGAGGGCTTTTAAATTTTGTCTTCTATCTGGTAAAGCTTTAATATCTTGAAACAAACAAAAAACAATTCATAAAAGATTCATTTAGGTAAGAATCAAAAGCTGTATGAATAACATGCCCTTCATTCAGATGAGCAGTAAGTAAGGATATTGGTATTTAGATTCCCGGTATAAAACTGATAACCGTTAATATCAAAAACTATGTGTAAACCCTCATATATGCACAATCTCTAATACTGCAAGGTGGGTATTATTTTCATTTCAGAGATGAGGAAATCGAAGCTCAGATGGAAGTGTACTGCACCATGATCAAAATGTTAGTAATAAGTAGGTTTACCCGATTTCATTATCTTTCCATTAAGTCATATTCAAAGTCAAGAACAAAGTCCAAGTTACCCAAAAATTTCATAGGTCCTAACTCATTCACAATCTACTTACTTATTAGTGTCTTATTAGACACTATGAATCACAAAACTTTAGCTTCAAAAAATTTGTACCCAAACACCTTAATTTTTCATCAAGTAATACTACTGAGAACAGTGTGAGCTTATTCATAGAATGAAAAAATATGTCCTAAACCTTAAGAATAACCTTAAGAAAACATTAGGAGAATGAAATTAAAATTTCCTAATACAATGATTAATAATAGCATTGAAGTACATATTGACAATACTTAAACGAATAACTTGATTACTTATTAATTTCTCAGTTTTTGTATTTTCTAGTCTTAGATTTTTCATTTTCTGTCCAACATTACTTAATGTTGGTAAAGGATGTGGTTGAGAGGAATAAAAAGAAATTATTAAAATAAGGTTTCCCAATTATTAA